TGTTGAAGCCGCTGCTGCACGTGCGCGCACCAAGCAGCACACACGGACACCGGTACAAACTAGTGGTGCCGGATTTAAAGCACATCGCTCTCCCTCTATGCTTCGAGCGTCGAGTGGTGAAATATTGGAACAAGTTACCGGAGGTGCTAGTTGAGGCGAAGTCGGTGTCGGAATTTTGGAGATTTCTTGACGCCCACTTTTCGGACTACAGGTATAGGGAGCGTATGGCACCCGGATAAGATGTTGCGCAGCTGCAATATGCTGCCACCGAGCAGGAATCAGCGACGTGGTTCCGCGCATATACCCGATCCACCTAAGATGTAGCAACATAGATTTTTATCTTGCTCTTTATTCTCAATATTTAATATTCAGCGCCATCTCTTCATCGGTGGATGCACTTCTTCCATCCTATGTTCGGCACATTCATCATCATCATTATACATGTCAGTTCGAGGTGGTAAAATACCTCCGCTATTGTACCGCAATGAGATGAGACTGTCAGCCATATAATTGCAAAAATTACAGCAACGAGCTAGGATCTGTACTGCATTTCTCGATAGTTCCTTTTGGCCGCCGGTTTCGGCTATAAAAGAGCTACCGCTGATACGTCTAGTTAGTCTGGCTTTCACAGAAATCACCCAATTTTCGTATGGCAGTTTCCAAATCAGCACGGTCTTCGTCCTTTCCGTACTGCATCGTTTTCAAGACGCGACGTCTCATATGTCTAATAATACCCAGTTGATACGCCATCGGTTGTTCATTCAGTCGCACCAGCACCAAATTGATCCACTTGCTTTTCCAGATTATTGGCCGAATTGTGTTCTTCCATGCTTAGTGGGCCAAGTGGTTGCACAGCTGGTTGCGTTCCAATCAGCAACTGAGCACCATTGGGTGATCTTGGCTTGGTTTTCTCTGACACCATGTTGCAGAACTCGGTCCTTCAGGGACAAAGGTTTATTCGGCTAAGTGAGTTCAGCAAAAATGACAGCATAACTAGTATGTAGGAACCTCGATGTAACTAACTAAGTTATTTCCATAACTAGCGACGCTGCTACATTCATGAGGTTTCCCTTTTGAATTAGTTGAACAAACCCGCTCCAGCGAACCAACCAGCGCTTAGACGAAATATGCGTAGCTGTTCAATCAACTGCTCTGCTAGCCGCTTGCTTCGCCATATAAATCGTATCGTCCTTCTGCTTGCACAATCCAACCACACGGGGCAGTGAAAGTCGCAAGGAAGCTGTGTCGATGCTGCTGCTCTATCTGTGCACGATAGCCAACTGTTTGTTTATACTAGGTGTAGGCACCTTGAACCTGAATGTTTGTTTTGGGGCAGTAAGGTTTTACGCTAAGTCCTCCCTCTTAGTGTTTTTCTTTTCGTAGGTCACCATGCTTGTATAGCAGTCATGCGTCAGTTTAAGTGGTTGATGTACTGCTTTTGCTGATGTTAATCATGAGAATGAACACTACCAGTGGTTTTATTACAATCGTCTGCATCCCGTCACTTGTTTCTTGCTCTTCGACACTGTGTTCTGTCCGCGTTTCGACCATACTGTGACATGCCACAAATAGCGCACACCAGCTAATACAATTATCTCCCGATCTTTCAACTCATATCACACCTCAATTGATCCCCGCATATATCTTAGTTTCCAAACCACACTGATGATCCCAGTTGGCAAGATATATACTCATCGGCTGGGCCCGGCGTCCACAGTGCAGCGCTGTCGATCCCATTGGTAACTTCGGCTATTACTGACGAATTAAGCAAATAGCTAGTGGACTCGCCTTCAATGCAAATGCGCGGCGGCCGTGTGTTATCTATACCATTTCTCAATTGATTGCATCCTTAACGCATTGGCTTTCATCCCTAATGCACTAGCTTGCATCCTCAGCGCAAAAACCATAATCCGATAGTCACGGCGCCCTGAGTGTGTCAGCTGTCCGTTCTCCTCAAACGGACATCTTGTTTGTTCACTCATGCCCTCTTTGTGAAACCGTTTGACTCCATTCATAGCGCTCTCGATGAAGTCAGGTTGCATGATCCATTGTTCCGGACACGTTCACTGCTACGTCAGCCTTCGTCCGGAACTGTGCTGACTTGGCCTAACCTTCACGTCCCAAGCTTTGGGGTTTAGAGCCAATTATTAAGTAAACCCCTGTTTTCACCACCTTATTGTCCGATGCTGGTGCTCACCTAGACAAGCGGATGACTTGAGTGAGCAAACGAGATTTCCGTTTGAGGCCAGCGGACAGCTGACACACTAAGGACGTCGTGGATGCATTTTCCGTGACTATCGGATTATAATTTTTGCGCTAAGGATGCAAGCTGCTGCACTACGGATGAGTCATTTTGTTACGGATGCAATGGTATAGCCATAGTGTTTGCACTCACGAACGCACATATTTCTGGGTCGTTCAATAATTGCACACTTTCGTTTCGGGTCAAGCCAAGCAATAGACATTCCATTGGCGTATCCGCACAACCCTACTTTTCTGTGTACAGAAAGCGTCAGGCGTCGGTTTGAATTCATCACCGCTAAACCTGGTCAGGCGATTGTCAACCTCCGGATAAAAATGCAGCTTTCTATTCAAGTAAGATCTTCAATATGGTTTTCATCATTTACGATGCCGATGTTTTCACACATGTTCGCCCAGAACTGTGTTCGTCCATGACGCTGCCTGTTTCCCTAACTTTCCTAATCACCGTCACCGTCGAAAAACCGCTTTGAATTATCCTCGAATGCCGTACATTAAATTCATCTGCTATCTTTGGATATAGGTAGAAATTCGTTACATTTAGACTCACTCAAACAGCCATCACACGCCCGGAAAAGCCCTGTACGTGCGTTTCATCCTTTCGGGAATCGTCAGCATTCCATCGGATCCTGGTAGGGCTCGAACTCGCAGCTCGACTGTTGCCAGTCCTTGGTTGAGACCCCTGAGCTACGGGGGACGACAACGACCATTGTGAATAAGTTACTAGATGTAATATAGCGCCGCTCACTATCCATTGACTTGCACGTTACTGCCTTGCAGACGACAGTGTAGCCCCCTAACCTATACCATTCGACTCCCCCTACTACTCCTCTGTAATCTTTAGATATGACCATTCTCCACGTTCACTGCGAAGTACTAGCTCACCTCGTTCTTCCTTTGACAAAGCCATGGTTACTCTGGAGGCAAAGAATCTGTTGATAATTTTGAAGTTTGTATTTCATTTTAATTTAACGGAAAATATCTAGTTACCCTCTGTCCAGTATTTACGGACACCTTGTATATTACAAAAAACAAATAGAGTAGTATACCTAAATGTGATATCACAAGTACTTTGCTGCATCGCCAACGCCACTGGCCATAACCTATAAATCGTCTCTCCTTGATAAAATCGTATATTTAACCGACTGGCCGATAGACTGCAGTCGAGTGACCAATTTGTGGACTGGCCGTCCAAATGGAACACATTTTGGCCACATATTGTCACACAAGAAATTCCGTGTATAGTTCTACATACGAATTATTGTATTATAGCGCCCTTGGGATCGATTTACACAGAGCGCAGATAGTATTTCCTCCCGGGAAAATTGCGTTCACTGCTTGTGTTAGAGCTACGCTGGACAGCGCTTTCTCAAGTTGCCCTGGAGCACGCAAATCGGTCATTAAATGTGCTCTGTCTGTCACTCCAGCGTACCGCAACCGTTTCGTGTGTTGTGTGGGCTACCATCCGTCGAAATGCCAACCGAAGTTTTTGTATGGTGTCCTATCTGTTTATATATCACTTGACATAAGGCCGTCGGAGTTGAATGAGTTTGAAGGTCACATTTTGTCGGAGTTGCACTCTGAGCTAGGATGCTTCATCTATATTGTCACTGGCGACTTCAATAGGGGTGACACAATTTCCATCAGCACACTAGATTTGACCTGTTTGGCGGCATTCTCCACCGGTCTTTATGCACATCTGAGCTTAGTTTTTACTAACGAGCATAACTTGTTCTCCACCCAAACACGTGCTCATCTTCTTAATGCGAAACAATACAGTAAGGGCAGGGATGTTGTGTTGACAAGTAAGCCATTCGGAACTGCCGGACGGCAAGGCTCTTTAACAGGAAACATTACAAAGCTCAGCGCAACACTGCGTTCTACCGATTTTGACAAGTGTAGTCCTATTATTGAGAATGCCTGTACGACTTGGGATGAGAATGAGTGTGTTGTGTTTTTCTCCGAGTTGCCGTTCCGCTGCAAAGCTAGGCAGCTTCATCAGTGCGACTCTGAATGTCTGCATAATATAGACTTGTAAGCCACTACTAGACTTATTAGCTTGGTGCGAGCGATTGGCATATTGTCCGAAAGATCTTAATGTGCTCACGGTAGAAGCGCCTACCTCTTTCGCTCAAGTGAGGCCACAAGGCAAGCGACATCAGGTTGGGGGAACTCAGTTCCATTCATTCCTGTAGGTGCTAACCACGTACAACCAACAACGCATCCTCTTCTAAATGTTCGTAAAAAACGCAACAGTTGTTGAATAACATCGAAGCGCTAGAGATTCGGGTTTGCTCGCTAGTGTACTCAAAGCGACACTGGTTAAGATAAACGACTGTTCCGACCGCAGGTGCGCTACTTTAACCAACTAACAAAATTTGACCAATCAATACGACCAGCATTTTGAACTCCTATCAAGATTCTGGTTATGGCTGTGTGATTGATATATTACTCTGTTTGGAGTCCTTGATTTCTGTTTTTCTCGGCTAAGGGCTGGAAGTTTTGCGAAGAATCGATAATTGTTGGCCGAAAAGTATGGACATCCTAGCACATACCCGCTCTTGCTTTGCAACTGCTTTGATGTTATGATTAAAGAAAAGTCCGTTTGTCAATTTGAGTTACGGATAACATTCACTCTATCTGCAGTCAGTCACTTTTCTCGATTATTTCCCCCAGCCTCCATTTTTATGATATCATTCTGCTGTTCTGTCGCTTATTCCATGCTTCCTTCTCATTCTGTCATGCACTTAGCTGTACCTCCAAGAGCGCCTGATTTTGCCGATTGCCCCACTACTCCGGCCACTAATCCAGACAGTGTTCGTCTGTGCTGGTCTCTACGTGAGCTTCACTCGAATAACCGATCATTGGCACCATCCTCAGGACGTCGCAGGTGGCCTGCTGCTGGGTGCCGCTACAGCTTTTGCTTCCGTGAGTTGTATGTTTTGGTTTTAGCCTTCGTTTACTAGGATGTGCAGAAGAAACGTGATCGCAGCGTATGCAGCTTAGTCTGTTGTCCCTGGGTTTTCACTGTGCGCAGTCGATGCTACAGAGAGGACAGAAGTATTAAACTTCGCGAAACTTTTTCTGTTTCCATGTATGACCAACCTTCCCGGTTGCTCTTGGGATCACAAATTTTGGTGTTGAATCGACTTCACTAGATCTCTCTTGCTCGATCTAGTTTGTATTGTCCCACTTCACGCCAAAATTTGCAGCTGGATTAACGGTGTCTGTTTCACAAACCGAATACACCTTGTGTGTGTGCGACTTGGTCGTTCCGCAGCCCCGTAATCCAGAGTCCAATTTTTGGCCGCGTTTTTCGTTCCTGTTTGCACTCTGTGTTTCGAAGGAATTGGGTGAATATGGTTTAACGGTTTAACTGTAACGACTTGCTTAGTCGTAACGAACGACGCAATCCCCACGATTTCTACTCCCGAAGCGAACGGCACGGTCTCGTCGGAACAGACAGTGTCCGTCTGTGCTTGTTTCTACGTGAGCTTCATTCGAAAAACTGATCATTGACACCATCCCCAGGTCGTCGCAGGTGGTCTACTGCCGGGTGCCGCGCGCGACCTTAACGCCCACGACTGACGTAGCTAATGGACAACTGATCTACCTTCTCTATGGCCGGCGCGGCCTACTAACTACAACACAAAGTCGTTTGTAAAAGGTGTGCTGTTTATCAAAGGTTTGCGAAAGATACACGATTTCGTCCCATAAATTTTCGGACCTGTTTTGATGGATTTTATCAATTCCTTGTCATGTTTCTTCAGGGTTGTGCCGCTAGAGCACGTAGAACAATTGTCAACTACCAACGACACACCCACACCCAAAAGAGAGAGAAGCCCGGCTTTTTTCAGAACGCCTCTGCGACGTGACAAAGGCGAGCCCAACGGTGCAGAGTCCCATTTCTGCTACTACGTTAAAAAAGGAACCGAACTCTTGAAATAGCGCCCTTCCGCTACAGAGGGCAAAACGCGGCAAATGACAGTTAAGTGGAAATTAATCACATCCACACCTTTTCTCAGTTAATTGCATCCCTAACGTTTTCAAACTCAGCCTTAAAGAAATAGGTTTCGTCCATACATCTTTCAGAATCCTCCTTAACGCAATCAAATATCATCCACCTGGCGCGAACGCACCAAAGCGCACCCCCCGCTGGATGACCAATCAATCCCAAATAAACCAATAGCATACCAGACTAGTTTACGACAAGTTACCAGAGAAGATTTGGGTGTGGCGCAGATCGCGTGCGATTCAGGCACGATTAGCTACACTGAAACTACACACATGCTAGGGGATATACTCGCAAAATTCACGTGGTACCATCTTGGCCTAGCAGTCACGAGTGCTCATGGTGGTTGGCACGTAACCTTTCAGGCATTTCCACTTATACGTGAAATATGATTGCGCGATGTGTCCGCCCATTTCATCGCTGAGCTGCTCGTATACTGCGAGGCACCCACATGAATGAGTGCGAATGAATTGGCCCTTGGAAATAATGACATGAAGTCGTTCACACATACCGTTGTCGATGATCGGCAGACATGGAAGTTGGGCTAGTGACACCGGAGGGACGTGGAGAGCGTGTGGACCGCGGTGTGTTTCGGGATGCCGCATGCTCACTGAGCGCAATGTTGAAAGCTTCGCGTTTGATGGATATAGCGATTCGAATCAGCATGAGTGCGCGCGCAGTGCACATTGGCATCCTCACCGAGATTTCACTCGCCTATTACCTTTGTTAGGCCGTTGTTCGACTGAGCTTGCTCCTGGGGAATATTTCATTTCGTTACGTCATGGAACCCATTGCGGTTGCTACGACATATAAGTGCCTGAGTGGTTCCTCCAACCGTTCTCACACATAATTTGTATTCTTGCGAAACAGACCAAATGTGTTGTTTTACCAGGGGTGACACACACGAACAGAAAAGAAATTCCGCAACACTCGGGGCGGTTATACTATTCTGCCAGTTTCAAGGAATGAGCTCAGTTACGTGTCATTGCTAAACTGCAGTCAATAGCGGCGCACATGATTTGGTTAACTCAGAACAATCTAAGCATTAGTCGGTTATCAGCTAATCAGTAACGCTCGTGTTTCCGCCTCTTATCATATGGCAAATTATGCGTTCCAACGACGCAATTGGAAACCCGACGTTCAGTATGCTCCAAATTAGTGACATCGTGCTTCAGTTTTGGTTGCCTTGTTTGAATTTCGTGTTCTACGTGGTAATGCCATTTCCGTTTGCTCAGAACAACCCGTCATCCCGAACCAGTGACGTAGGCCACTTTCGACGATAGAGAACTGTAGGGTCTGCGTTTCGAACCTATAGATGTAGAAGCTGTGGTTTCGTATGAAGAGTATCTTATACGCGTGTAGTCACCCTACCTACGAGAATTGAATCCTTCAGATGCGCAGCTGTCGAACAATTGTGAACTTTTGGAGAAACAAGCGTTGTTATCATCAATAAATCGTAGTATGTCACGAAAGTGGTAACTGACCTCGTAAGTGTTGGCAAGTCTCAGACTGATACGACACAGTACAACAGCGACATGGTGGAGAAACAAAGCCCATCGCGACGTGACTGGACTTTATTTTGATGTGATGGTTTGCCTACCTTCGTGACCTATTGAGCTTCGCTCGGCGACAACTTCTAGGTGCCATCAGGACTGCTCATACCAAACGTGTCAATGATTAGGACTCGGATTAACTTAGTCTCACAATCCTCTTCAATGGTTGGTAGAGGTTCATGATCCTCTTCCCTTAGAACAGCCACGGGAGACAACAGGTTTTAGAGTATTTCACAGCTCGATTGGCGTAGAGCGCAAGCGCCACGCACTGTCTCTGATCGTGGGAGTGCACCACCCGGTGCTTAATGGTTTGCTACCTCCCGCTTCAATCCAGGCAACTCCTGGTGAAATAGGTGTAAACCCGCCAATTCCTACATGCGGTTGCCTGTGGTCGCACATGAATTGCCCTAGATCCTCAAAGGCTGTATCTGACAGGCCTCAAGCAGATCCCAATGAGACACTGCAATCACGCTCTCCAGTTGGACTAGCTCCCCACTACATTGTGGATCAAGCTGTTGGCCAAAGGTTCTGAATGGAGCCACTCAAGTAAACCTCCATATACGTGACCGCGTTGTTCATCAGATTGTTGAGTGAACGGTTAAGGGTAGGGCACCTCAACCAACAACCCTCTTCCGGAATGAGCAGCAGGAGAGTATAATCTGCCCTCTCGACCCAGTCGCCAACACTTCTTCTCCTCTATCCGTCCCACTCTCTTCTCCCCCGTTTATTGCGCAAGGGACTGTCACTGACCTCGTAACTAAAGCTATCAAACCGAGATTCGCATTTCTCAATGGTTCATTTGACGTCCAAGCACTTTTTCAAATCGGCCAACAGCAGCACTAACTCTCCCTATCCACTCCCTCGGTATTGGTGTGTGCTGTCTCCGAAACACATATACAAGATAAGCGCGTCGTGACGAATCTTCCACTTCTTGGTTCCGAATCTGATGACAGCGATTACAATCTAAGCGCCTCTGGTGATACGAAGTAAATAGCTCAAGGTTATTATGCAGTCCGTATCGCCCTCAGGAATCATACAGAATGCAATCTACTCGACTGGATGCAAGTCAACAGCCGTTCGACTTCGAAACTCTACTGCGGTGAATAACAACCGTCTGAGGATATTGTGCACTTTCAATGCTTCTGTTTATGCCATCAGTGACTGAAGTTCGGAGGGTATGAAGGACCACTTTTATCGTCACCAGGATCTACTAAGACTGTGATTGTTATTGGTTACATGAATGTCTTAGTGGGACTTTGAACAACACCTAGAATACTGTTTCGGAGTGCATGCATGCCGAACAGACAGCGGCGGTCGGTTCTTACAACTATGTGCTGACCTCAATGAGCATATTGGCAGCACTGCTTTCAAGCACTAACGTTCAAATCGTGTCACATGTGCCCACCGAACTCCTCGATGACATTGACCCAAATTGACCCTGTTGCTGTAGGCCACACATGGCGCAACTCAGTTGAAGACTGTCAATCAATTTTGAGTATATGTCTGCATTCGGACCAGGCTCTAGTGTTTCCTGGTTCACCTGTAATTGCGGTGACACCTATATATGGAATACCTAATGATTCCATAACCCAGACGTATCTACGGCACCGTGGCGTGCCGTACACCTCGACCACGCTTCGGGAGGTTTTCAGCCTCGTTCGACACATAAAGTCAGCAACAATTGTCCGCCCTGAAAGGAGTGCCACGGAATCTTCTGTCTTTGCTACTGGATGCCCCATTGTCCCGCGTTTGCGACACTGAATGCCCTAACCTTGCAACAAAGGCCGTCTGCGCTCTAGTAGTGGCCCATCCATTACCGCTCTGCACCGTTGGTGCACTTAGATTGGCCAATACGAGCTCCCCTATATGTAATATTCCCAGTATAGTTGATGCTCACAACCTTGGCTTCCCCATACGTCTCCGTTTGAACCCGTCTGCATCTTACCCCGTAACTACTTGCACCTCGGCGCAGCGCGAATATTTCAGGTAGGTAATCATACGGTGCAACTTAACATCATTTAGTTCACTCTACACATAATGTCAAGAGGAGGCCCATGCATGCGCCATCTGGCGGACGTTAAGGCAAGAATATTGAGCACCTATGAAGAAGGCGATGACTGGAAAAGGTTGCATCCGTGTTAAATGTCAACCTGAAGACTTGCCGAAGTTGGTATAAAACGTTAGAGTCAAACGAACCAGAACGAAAACGTGGCGGGGCACGTCGAAAATCATTGACTGACATTCACGTGGATAAACTGGTGGAATGGGTAGAAGCGGAGCCTACCATAACCTTAGAGTGTCTTCGTTTCCGATTGAAAATGGAGCTCAATGTAGAGGTGAGCTTCAGCACAGTGGCTAAGTGC